GGCCCCTTTGGGAAGAGGATTGCCCCGCAGCAAGGCAACAAAGCTGAGGCTCCCCCCAGACTGCTAGGGCTGTTGTGAGCCGAGGGGATGCTCCTCAACTGGCAATCGAGGGGCATTTACAGAGGTGCCTCTGCACCCCTGGCAAAAAAAAAGTGTACTGCAACCGCTTACTTTGCATAATGGACGAGCCACCCCTGAGTATGAATGCTGAACTTTATCTGTGTTATGGAAACCTTGTTTTTGTAAATAGTGCAACCATATTATTTTGTTATAAAGAAAAGCCTCCTATTGAAATCTACAAGCATGTGGACAACTTCAACAGAAAGGAGGAAACCATGAAAATGAACAAAATTTGGCTAGCAGTATTTAAAAAAACTCCAAAATCGCAACAATACATAAAATCAGAATTGCAAGAACTCAGTAGAAACATTTCTAATTTTAGGGCTGGGTTTTGATCATCACTGTATTATGTCAAAGATGGTCAAGTTTTATCTCAAGATGATGATCTCTCCATCCCTCTGATGCAATTCTAACTCCCCCCCCCCCCATGATGGCAATTAGCATGATCTTTTAGTATATTTGATTGTTCCAAGGAGGAAAAAACAGAACAGAAATGCACAACCATGCAGCCCAAGATAATGTAAGTCTCAATGAATGATAGTAACCAAATGCCATTCAGCTTTTGCATAGTTCAATATTCCATGCCTCGGCTTATTTATTAACTCCATGAGCAATGAACATTCTAGAGGTGGTATTTTGTTAATCAATAACAAACTAACAAACCGGAAAATATCATACTACAACTATCACTATTACTATAGTTAGCTCTCCACATTTGTTGGGGTTAAGAACTAAGGACCTCCGGGAAAGTGAAAAACCATGAATTTGTTATAGTTTGTTATACAGTCAGGAAATCAAACACAGAGTCCAAATGTAGGACCTAGAGATTCCTAGAGAAAAATAATATTAATCAAATTCATAAATAATAAAATCTGCGAAGGTCAAAATTGCAAATGTGAGGGACAACTATATATCATATTCTAGTCCAGCATTTCACAACCTGGGGGTCGGGATTAGGGGAGTTGCCAAAGACCATCAGAAAACACAGTATTTTCTGTTGGTTGTGGGGGTTCTGTGTGGGAAGTCTGGCCCAATTCTATTGTTGGTGGGGTTCAGAATGCTCTTTGATTGTAAGTGAACTATAAATCTCAGAAACTACAACTCCCAAATGTCAAGGTCTATTTTCCGCAAACTCCACCAGGGTTCACATTTGGGCATATTGAGTATTCATACCAAGTTTGGTCCAGCTCTATTATTGCTTGAGTTCATAGTGCTCTCTGGATATAGGTGAACTACAACTCCAAAACTCACCAAACCCTTCCAGTATTTAATGTTGGGCATGGGAGTGTGTGTGCCAAGTTTGGTTCAATCCTATCACTGGTGGAGTTCAGGGTGGTCTTTGATTGTACGTGAACTATAAATCCCAGCAACTACAACTCCCAGATGACAAAATTGATCTTCCCCCAACTCCACCAGTATTCAAATTTGTGCATATTGGGTATTTGTGCCAAATTTGGTCAAGTGAATGAAAATGCATCCTGCATATCGGATATTTACATTACGATTCATAAGAGTAGCAGAATTACGGTTATGAAGTAGCAACAAAAATAATTTTATGATTGGGGGTCACCACAACATGAGGAACTGTACTAAGGGGTTGTGGCATGAGGAAGGTTGAGAACCACTAGTCCATACTATACAAAGGCAAAGTCATTGCCATGTAATATATATTATTATATATTGTGTAAGTTGCCTGCAATGTAAAGTTCTTTCCAGCTACTTTTTGCCAATGTCTGCCCATATTGAGTTTGAAACTAAACTAAAAATAGCTTTAGTCGGAATCACTAGTTCAAAGTGGCTTGTGACCAAGTTTATTCACACACTGCTTGGCAACACAAACAATAGAAATGGTGTTGATATTTGAAACACAAGTGGCTTGGGAAATTCTGGAGAAAACAAGGAGGCCATGGACAAAATCCAGAATGGCTGTTTGAATGAACAATTCCCAGGATTAACAAGCAATAAACAATACAGGAGCTATTGCCAAAAATAGTATCCACTAAATCCATTTTATAATATAAGAGATATCATCTGTAGCTAAACATGCTCTATGTTTAATCTTTTGTAAAGGACTTATCAACAGACAAAGGAGCCGTTATGTTTATTCTATTTTAACAGGGCAATTAATCATTGTGGTGAATGTATACAGAAAGGCTTCTGTAAAGGAATTACAGATCAACATGACATCTTTATTGAAGTCTCTTCAATGCAAATCTGGTTGAAAAAGAGCTCTGGAGTCAGATGGCTAAAAGGAAACATCTCCCAATCATCTGGGAAACCCTTCCTATGCGTCAAAAAACTAGCCTAGAATTCCCAGCATCCTCAACCAAGCCAGATGACAGCTTAGCGTCAATAATGCTGATCTTTAGTTTCCAATGCAACTGCAATTAACATATTCCACTTTGCATTACAGCTGAGAAGATGACACCAAGTAGAGAAGATCGGAACTCACTCCGGGGGAAATTAGGGCGTCATCATCCCTCCTCTCCTTCAGGAGGAAGGTAAAGACGTGGTTGTGGGACCAGGCCTTGGGCATTCTGACAATTAGAGAAGATAATCAGATGAATATGACCAGGACTGACAATGTGGAATTGAAAATGGAACTATGAGATAGCGAACGCTGACCGTTTATGAGGCGGAATTGGGTTTGTATTGGTTTTATTGATCTTATTGGTTTTTATAGTTGTAATGTAGGAATTGTTGTTTAACTGTGAATTGATGCTCTGTCTGTTTTTGACTGTTATGTGATGTGGGCATCGAATTGTGCCTTTGCTTTGTAAGCCGTCCTAAGTCCCCTTCGGGGTGAGAAGGGCGGGGTAGAAGAAACCAAAATAATAAATAAATAAATAAATAAATAAACACACATCCTCACAGACATTGAGCTACTCTATAAAATCAACAGAAGGTACTCCTCCCAGCAAATTAATTTACCTGCCTCTGGTTGATGAACGACTTGTGAAACAGGACTGCCTTCCCATCCTGTGGAGGCAAAACAAATGCTTTCCAAGAGCACACGGCCTGAATATCATCTTACCTATCCATGAATACTCTTTCCTAAATTCAAGTCTTTCAACTCATAAGCTGAACTTAGTATCATTTAAGCAAACAATGAATGTGGACATCTTGCTGTCCTTCAAAGTCA